TGATAACGACAAAAAACAAGAATGTTTGTTTTGTTTCGATATTTTTATTTTTAAAATATATATTTGCTACAAATGTAGGGAGATTTATGCATCAATTATATGTGAAAATGTATAATCGATGCACAACTTAGAAAATTGAATGGTTGATTATGAGACGACAAAAGTGTCTTAGAGTCAACTGATAAAAAAATAAATCTTGGTAAATAGAAGGAATTTCACAACTTTCTAAATGAACGAGATATGCTGCAAAAGCATGTAACTCGTTGGTTTAGAATATAGTAATATGCCGACGACTATGGGCATTACTATTGATTTCTATTATTTTCTACAAACAGAATTATCATTATAATCCAAATCAAACTTGTATGAGTAAAGTTAGTGGAATGAATCATTGTCTTAGATTTTTATTTTTAATTATTAAGAATAACCAATTTTTTGTTTTTCACAAAACAATAACCAAAATAGACCGTCTTAGATAAACACAAAATTATTAAACTTGATACTCGAATTCGTATATGAGGAACGATCATTTATTATTACTTCAATATTGCGAATGCTTGCGGGGTTTCATTCTTCAATCTATTTATCCTCCTAGATTGAGGGGATTGTGGGTTGGTCTTATACTAAGAGGTTTTGTGGATATATTTTATTAGATGGTCTTCTTGAATAAGACACTTTATTTATTTATTTATTTAATTAATGGAAGCCATTTGTATGATGGGCATTCACCTTGTGGTATTTACATCACTTGTTTGACTCATTACTCCTTACCTCCCACTTTGGATTTGGAGGAGGGGAATGATGTGTGTGTGGAGTATTTCGCGTCAAATTTTCTCTCGTCTAGTGTTGAGTGGTGTATAGCTCACCATAGACTTCTTGTTGCATTTAACGATCACCTTGTCATAAATAAGGAATGTGTAATGGATTTTACTTTGATGTTGAAAGGAATCAGACCCCCTAACACCATATTCTTTTGTGTCTATAAAATTCTCCTTTGCATTGATTTCTTCTTCCTTTATGTAGCCCTAAATCTGTGGCATAATCCCAACCATGAAGGTTGCAATCTCTTGGGTGAGAAACTCGTTGAAATGCATGACTTTAGACCATTTTGGAAAACTACACCAAACATTTCTTGGTTGGGATGGACTACCTTGATGGTCATCTCGTTGAACATGATGAGGCACTCTCTCAAAGATTTAGAGTGTCTTTAGTTGACATTGAACAAACTAATTTTTGAGACCTTACATTGTTTTTTCAATGAGAACAGATGAATCAACGTCTTCAAGAGGTCTTGGTAGCTGGTTACAGAGGAGCTAGGTAGGTTCATGTACCGCTTTAAGGCGTCCTTCCTTAACGTACAAGACAATAGCTTACACTTTAAGGAGTTGGTGGTGGCATTCTTTAAGTGTTGATAGCAATGATATGCTCTTGTGAGATGTTTTCCATCAAAGGGATGTTGTTGGAGATGTAAAATGTTGGTTTGCGGGGTTTTGTTGCATCGACATAATCCTTCTATAATGACATGCATCTCTGCTATGACTACTTGATAGCCATTGTTGTTGCTAGCAGCGTCTCGTCTCACCATTGTGGAATAATGATTATGATAAAAAAATGTTTCGGACGAGAGTGAGTGTTGGAAATAGTTTATATTTTAAGAATGTCTTGTTGACTCAGTCTGTTAGAGGGTATTTTAGTATTTTTATTATACCTTAATATTGTGTATAATAGCCTAGTATTAGGTAGGTCAATGTATTAATTAGTCCTTATTTTGTATCCGTCATTTAATATATTTCCTTTGTCTTACATATCACCTTTGTGAACCAACAATTGGTATCATAGCTCCGATTTGAAATCCACGGGGAAGCACGAGTGAACAATGAGATGTTGTATGATTGAGAATCACACTTTTTCTGATTCTTTGGGATTTGGGAAACATTGTGTGTTAGTGAGTTTTGAGTGAACTACACAAGGTTGAAGATGAATGGAAACAGCGATATCAGTTCTAAGCTTCCAGTGTTTGATGGTAAAAACTGGAATCGTTGGAAGATCCAGATGCGTGTGTTGTTAGGTTCTCAAGATGTGTTAGATCTTGTCACCGATGGCTATTCTTTAATAGCAGCAGATACGACGGAGACACATAAGACAACGCAGAAGGCGATAAGGAAGAAACATCAGAAAGCATTATTCTACATCCATCAGTGTGTGGATGCGAATGTGTTTGAGAAGATTGTTGACTCTAAAATAGCAAAGGTTGTGTGGGACACACTGAGTAGGTGTTACGGTGGTGACACGTCAGTGAAAAAGGTGAAGCTTCAGTCTCTCAGAAAGCAGTATGAGAATCTCAACATGAAGGACAATGAGAAGGTTTCTGAGTACATCTCTAGAGTGATTCTGATTACTAATGAGATGAATGCTTATGGAGAAACCCTTTATGAACAAGTAATCATAGAGAATGTATTGAGATCTTTAACTTCTAAGTTTGATTATATTGTGGTAGCAATTGAACATTCCAAAGATATGAGCACCATGAGAGTTGAAGAGTTGCAAAGTAGTCTAGAGGCGCATGAGTTGCGTCTAACTGAAAGAACTTCTGAGAGGGAAGTTGAGCAGGCTCTGAAATCTTCTTTTGTCAAGAAGGACCAGAAGCATAAAAAATATGATGGTTCCTAGAAGTCAGAAGTCTTCTATTATGATGAAAATAAACATTAGAAGGGAAAGGAGAAATATGACAAGAGAATGGTTCAGTATTACTATTGTAATAGGTTTGGCCACTTTGCTAAAGATTGTTGGTAAAACAAAGAAGAAGCAAAAATAGCCAGAGGAGATTCAGATGATGAACATGTGCTATTGATGGCTTATGAATCTGATCAGAAACCTGTTAGATTATCATTTTCTGATTCTGAAGGGGAAGAAGATGATTCTGAATATTCTAATTCTGAAGGAGTGATTTTATGAGTCAGAATCAAAAGATGACTTTGAAGATTATGAAGATGAGTCAGAATTTGAGGTTTCTGAAGAAGAGTCGGAGTTAGAAGATGACTCTGAAGTTAAAGACAAGTCAGAATCTGAACGTGATTCTGAATCTGAAGAAGAATTAGAAGATAAGTCAGAATCTGAAGGAGATTTTGCTTCTGAAGATGAGTTAGAACTTGAAACTTCTAATGAAGAGCTAGAGTCAGGAGATGAAGAATCTTCTGGAGATTCTGAAGATGAGTCAAATGGTGAATCTGATTCTGATCCAGATTTCGATCCAAAATCTGGTGGTGATCATTCTTCTAGAAGAAAAAAATATGAATACGTAGGTTTTGGAGGGAAAGCTTCTAAAGATGATCATGTTTCTTGTGGAAATCATGACACTAAGGATGAACCTTCTGAAGGAAGAGCCTCTGAAGGAAATCCAACCTTTGACAATGATCATGATTCTGAAAGTGGAACTTCTGAAGACAGGGCTTCTGAAGGTGATCCAACTTTTGAAGATGATATTTCTGAAGGTAGTGGTTCTGAACGAGGCCCAGAATCTAACAAAGGTGGAGCTTCTGGTAGTAGTCAAACTTCTGAAGCAAGTCTAGAAGGAGATATTGTTCCAGAATCAGAAGGAGATTTGAAACAAGTTCAGAGGCCACATAGAGTCTAAAATATACCAAGGAGATTTGCAGAGTTTGACAAGCTGTAAGATACTGAAGGGACTCTGAGGTATGGGGTGTTATTCTCTTTTGGTGTTAGATCAGATGCAGATCTGATATGCTATTCAGACTCTAATTTGTATGAAGACATAGTTGACAGAAGAAATACTTCTGGATACTTTTATTTATATCTGGAAATTCATATTTCTTGGTGCTCCAAGAAGCAACCGGTGGTTGTGTTGTCAACGTGTGAAGTTCTCAAGAAGAAAGTGTGGTTGAAGGCCATGAAAGAAGAGCTTGATGCTATTGAAAGAAACAAGAGTTGGGAGTTAACTGAGCTTTCGAAAGAGAAGAAAAACATCGGTATCAGATGGGTTCTCAAGGAGAAATTTACACTTGTAAATGAAGTATTAGAAGTTGCACACTGTAGCAACCAAAAACAACTTACAGATGTTCTGACGAAGGATGTCGAGATTGAACACTTTATCCGTTTGAGGAATGAAATTGTTGTTGAAGAGATTTGTGTAAATATAAATTAAGGGATGATGCTGAAAATAATTTATATTTTAGGAATGTCTTGTTAACTAAGTCTGTTAGAGGGTGTTTTAATATTTTATTATACCCTAATATTGTGTATAAATAACTTAGTAGTAGGTAGGTCAATATATTCATTACTCTTTATTTTATAGTTGTCATTTAATATATTTCTTTTATCTTTCATCTCTTCTTTATACAGCAACAATAAGATCCAAATTAATTTTACCGGATCATACGTAAATGTCAATTGTACCAAGTACAATAGAGGTCACCGCATCTCCGTCTAAAAATATAACCACCCAAGATTTCTACCCAACAATATTATGTCATGCAAGGCCTAATTAATAATTTCCAAGTAAAACTTGTCAAACCATGGATTGTTTTTTAACAACAATGTCTAAATGCATATGTCTTGCCAAATATTGAAAAATTACTATAAAATAAATAACAAATATTCCACATTCAAGAGGTATATCTAGCGCTGATTGTAAATGGCAAAAGAAGAAAGAAAAAAAAGTTGAAGAAGCATCTGATGCTATATTGATAAGGTTTTAGTGTACAAGTGGAGGAATTCATATCAAAAGAAAATTGAACAACACTGAATATCTTTATCTCTAGCCACACAAACAAACAGGAATCTATATTTGTACGTAGACTTCTCTTACTACAATGTTATTAAAATCAATATAAGGAGATGGTAATGATAAATTCATATATTATTCCGGAAACATCCAGGAATTTCCAAAGTAATCACTTTTTATATATACCAAAATAATAAAGCCTTATTCTTAATTACCTCCATTTCTGGCATCAAATCCTTCTTCTTCTTCTCAGTTCCAAATGGAACCAACATCAGAAACAAGACCCGAACTAGTAGTTCTTCATGAAGCACCACCACCACCTGAAGAACAAAATTTACAATCTCTCATGTGCAAGGTAAATCAAACCAACATGTTCTTTCTAGTTTCCATTTCTAGTAACATATTCTAATCTTCTTGATCATGACTCATTTTCCAACAGTGCTGTGTGTTAAAAGTGTCCATTCATTGTCAAGGTTGCATGAGAAAAGTCAAAAAAGTCCTCCAAAGCATAGATGGTAATAATAACTAATAATTCGTGGCATGTCTATGCTATTTTTGTATGATTTTTATTATAACTTGGAATTTATCTTTCTATCGTTCAATCTTACATTCAAAATTTCAGGTGTTTATCAAACTACAATTGATTTGAAGCAACAGAAAGTTGTAGTAATGGGAACCGTAGACACTGATACACTGATCAAGATACTCGCGCAAACTGGAAAACGAGCGGAGTTATGGCCGGACACAGAACCTATCAAGAAGAAAAAGAAAAAGAAGAAGAAAAAGAAGAAACCTAAACCAGAAAATAATCAGAACACGGATCAGAAACAAAGCGAGGGAGATAGCAGTGATGAAGGGAACCAAACCGACGGTAACGAAAACGAAGCAGTTAAAGTTGTTGTTCAAGACACAGTACCGAGAAATTCTGAAGCTTGTGGCGGCGGTGGTGGGAATATTAATGTTACAAGAATGGGCGAAGGAGGCTGGCCGACCGGAAGAGGAAGTGTACAATTCCAAGAACTGAAGCCTGAGGTGAGACACGTTATGAATTTCCCCGGCGGTAACGGTAACCAGTTACCGGTGGCGGAGAAAAGAGTTACAGTTGCGGTGGAGAATGGTGCGGGAAACGACGGTGGATATATGAGGAATAGAACTTTTTACAGAGGGCAGAAAGGGAATAACGAAGGTTTAAATGTTACTTTCGAACAACCATCTTCTGGTGATTGGAATCAGAATCCGAATCAGATGCAAGCCAATGGGCCGGGTTCGGGCTCGGGCCCAGGACATGTTTCATTTATGGGCCCACCTAATGAAAGTCCTCCGCGGAATCAATACCCACCGCATTATCATGGGCATGCACCAGCATCTCCTACTGCGGCGTGTGGTGGAAGCAGCTTTCATACGGCGTATACTCCTTCGATGAGATACGGTGCATCGTATTGTACGACGTCGTCGCAACCGTATTCGTATACTCATGCACATCAAAGTAATGATTCTGACTCGGAAACTTATGCTTATGCTACACCGTCACGCCGGTCACATTCTTTTGAGTTATTTAGTGATGAAAATCCTAATGCTTGTTCAGTTATGTGATATATCTTTACTTGAACTTGAACTGTAACCACTACAACTAACTTTCTTTATAGTTAGCTGGTTGGTAATTAATGGTGTTGTTTATTAATATTATCAATGCATTAGCTTAGTGAAAAATATGGGTTTCACTAATATTGTGGAGGAGTTGAAGTGGCATGCATATGTTTTGGAATGTTACGCGATATTTATGCTTAAAATCCTTTCTATTGAATAATACTTTAAAATCTGGGTACGTAATACTCTTCAAATACAAGTAGTATTAAAAAGTAAAATTTTGCTATAAACACTCTCAACTCACAATTATAGATTTTTCTATAAAATGGTCTTGTATTCTAAAATTTGTCTTCTTTTTTTTAAAGATATTTTTTTACCAAAGATCTCTAATGCTCAAGGGTTCTCAAGAGTTTGATCAGACAAGTTTATCTCCCAAGCACTGAGGTTACAAATTAGGATTTTGACTGAGAATGGCTGATCATTGACTTTTGACCTAATACATGATCTAATGGCTTGAAGCATAATCTCAAGGACTCAAACACAACATATTAACCTAACTTCATGGCTCAAATCATTTCTCAAGATCAATGAATTGATAGTTGAAATTTGGATCAACTGACGAAAAGTCAACCGATACACAAAAAAGTCAAACTTTGACTTTTTTGGTCAACATTGAATCTTAAAAATCAAAATTCATCAAGACATTCAAGAATATCAAACTTGATCAACACGAATCAAGAAAGTCAACAAAAAGTCAAGATTTTCAAGACTTGGAAAATTCTAAGTGTTTTTAACCTTGATAATTTCATTACTTCATGACAATTTTTCACAAAGATACAAGATGATTCAAAGAAAATTTTTAACATGAAAGTTGTAGATCTTGATGAATTCTACAACTTTGTATTAGAGGATTGATGTCTAAAAAATGCTTAGATTTGAAGATACAGGTCCATGAAGTCATGCCATTTTCATCTAACACTTAGAGAAATTTCCAACAGGTTTTGGTCAGTTTTTATCTCAACTTCTTGGCCAATTTTCATCAAGTTCCAGTTTGATTTAGCCAAAGTGGTCAATATGAAAGTTGTAGACAATGTTTCAAGCTTTCCAAAATATTCAAGAGCATGAATTTATCATACTTGAGTTAGGAGATTCAAAGGCATGAAGTTGGGCATTCATTCTTGAATTACAAGTCATTTTGGTGAAGAGCACATAACACAATCTACATGCTATACTGCATAGTCTTGTGTTGCAGGCCTTCCAACTTGTAAATTTCATCATAATTTAATGTTTACACAAACTTTTGAGCTATGATCCATTTGATTTAAGCATTGTGCAAGTGATCTTTCCATTTTTTTGCACAAAGTTAACATTGTCATTCTTGAAAAGCATGCTTTAATCACAAAGTCAGCTCTTCTTAAGCTTCTAACGTTTTCCTTCTACACACACTCAACACACAAAATCAGACAAGCAGGCTTAAAGTATCCAACAACTCTATGAAGCAAACTACAAAGCATTGGAACTATAATCTTCAAGCTTGTTTCATGTACAATTCAACCTAGCCACAACATGTGATCTTGGAAAATCTGATCAACCCTTGTCTTAAAACATCTTGCCTATAAATAGAGAGATCATTTACAAGATAAAGAAAGATGAACAAACCCTCAAAAATCATATACTCTCAAAAAACCAAAATTATCCACAAAACCTCCATTTTGAGCTTTGAAGTCCAAATCTTTGAACCTCTCACACCTTGCAAGTTTTGCCCAAACAAACCATGCAAATACTTCACATACATCATATGGAAGTTGTTCAAATATAAGAACAACTTCCATAACACTATTATCACCAACTTCCAAACTCAAAAACAGTACTTTGCAACTTGACTTGGCTAGAGTGATTCAGTAACTTTCAACACAAACTAAGGATTGGAACAACTTCAAAGAGGTCTAAAGAAGCTCAATCAATCACCATTTTGCATCCGGAAATATCCGTACGTGTTCTAAAGTTTTCTCTTCAAGAAGTAAATTTTCTCAAACTGTAATATCTTTATCCATACATCATTTGCTTTCGTTTTCAAAAGGATATAACAAGACAGATCAAAGCCATAACTTAGCAAAAAGCCAGGCCAGGGGCTGACAAGGGTGCCTTTGTCACAAGACACGGCCCGTGTCAGCTAAGCTGGGTTGAAAATTTAATAAAAATACAGGACAGGTCCTGACACGGGTGCCTGTGTCACACGACACGACCTGTGTCAACTTAATTGGTTCAGACACGTGCAAAAATAGGCTGACAAGGGTTGACACGGACACCCGTGTCACACGAAACGACTCATGTCAATTTGACTGGAAAAAAAATGTAAAGAAGAAGCCAGAAACAGGTCCTGACACGGGTGTCTGTGTCCACTGACACGGCCCGTGTCAGCTCAGGCACCAAATTTCCTAATTTTGAGTTTTTTTAGTTTACTTTTAGACATATTTCCTTGCTTGAAGATGACCTAACACCATAAAACCATTTTTTTCCTAAAACGAGACATCAAAAAAAAATTCCTTAACAATTAGTTTACTTTTTTAGACGTAGGTTTATTCTTCAATTTAATGAACTACAAAAACCTTTTCTATTAAAAACCCTATGTGACACGGTGGGAGAGAACTGACTGTTTTTGGAATGCTGGTTCGCGTTTTGCGTTTGTTTTTGCAAAATGTCGTGGTAAGCAAGAGTCGCCACCGTCTTTTATTTTATCCAACAAGGAAAGGAAAAAAGCACAGAAAAATTCCTTTTTCGAGATGTTTCTCGGGTCCGGAGGGTAGATTATAGAAAGAGAAGGTGTTAGTACCCTTTCTATCCGTGGTTATCCACGGGCTCTTAGGTACTTGCTCAAAGTGTTTTCAAAAATTGCTTTCTTTGTGTTTGTGGGTTTGAAAAGAGTTTTTTGTTTGAAAAGGAGTGTAAGTGTGAAAATTTTGTTTTATTTTGAAAGAGCAAGTACTTAAGAACCATCTACCTACTCAAAAAGGGAATCGTTCTATGCTATCTTCCTTTAGACAATGCTATCCCATTATGAATGAGTGGGTAGCACCGTCGTTGGAGTTTTAAGGGTCAATTCGATTAAGGGACGTGCGATCACTAAAGCAATGTTAGGACGTCTTAGCGGTAACCCTAATGTCTTAGATCATTTTTCCGAGGCAACCGTTTCGAGGCAACTATGATATTTGGACAAGAGGGCGACCTCTAAAACTTCCTATACTCAATGGCCACGTTCGAAGGCAACCAAGCGAGGTGTACCCTAAGAGTGCGCATGTGCGAGTGTGTTATTTCGGTTAATTTTGTCTTTGTACATGTCAATGGTTATCTATGTTGATTTTAGGTTTAAACATTTGATCTTGTCATGCATTTCCTATTATCAAACATCTAACAGTTTATAAGTTGCGGAAATTAAATTGCGGAAATTAAAACTAACTATTACAAGGCGTCGGGTATTTACATCGCCAAAAGCAACCCTTGAAACTTAAAATGCGGAAAATAAATAAAGCGATAAAAATATTTAAAGCCCTATTAAACTATTACATTCCGGAAAACAAATACAATAATATGGTAAAATGAATCGCGTGCGGGAAATTAAATCGAGCGTATTTTTTAGGGTTTTTACCCTTTTTGAAAGAAAGTATCTTTTTTTGTTATTTTTGAATTAAAAAGAAATTAGATCTAAATTAATTATTAAATCAATAAAAAAATTAATTAATAAAAAGATATTTTTGGAGTTTTTGGCATTTAAAGAAATAAAAATAAATTTGATCAAAGTTAATAAAAACTAATTATCTAAGTTGATTTTAATTATTACAAAAAAGATTAAAGTTGTCTCCTAATTAAGCTAAATCAATTAAATTAATATTTATTTACAAAAATAAAGTGCTGAAAATTAATTTAATAAATAAAATATTTTTTTTGGTTTTAATTTTATTAAGAAAAGGGTTTTAATTGGTTAGTGATTAATAAAATAATAAAACAAAACAATAAAATAAAAGAATGAGATAGAAAAACTCAGGGGGGGGGGTTCAGGCCCAATTTGGAGGTTTGAATGGCAATCCAATAGGCCCAACAGGCGCTGGCCTTGGCTGACTTTCCCTGATTCCCTATGGCACATTGACTTTGGAGTATGATGCACGCTCCATCTGGACCACCAGATCTGGCATGGGGCCATCTGGCAAGCATTTGAGTGAGGGAGTATCATGTACTGCGCGCTTGAATTCACACCCAATAACCTGTTGAAAAATAATACAAAGTAATATGGTGGACCTGGGATTCGAACCCAGGTCCTATGAGTCATTGGCCAACGTCTCCTCCACTCAGCCAGCGCGTTTTGTTTGTTAGTGGAATGAACAATAAATATAATATGGCAAACAAGTTAATGGATCAAAAAAATATAAAAATATAAAGCGCGAAATATGAATCAGCAAATTGGAAAGGGCCACGTCTTCGTCTTCTTCATTTGACCCTGGTTATTTACCTGCGGATTTATGTCTGCAGCTAAATTCGTATGTCATTCCAAAAATCCTTTCTAGGCCATGGAAATTGATTCCAAACACATGGTTGTGCTCGTCTAAGCCTCCTGAGCACGTCTATGTCCCTCTTGGGTCTTGATTTCACCTGTACACGAAATGCCCAAAACACAAACCAAGAACCCTAGATTCGGCTATGGCGCTATAGGTCATATGAATGCAATCAAATAATGCAGAAAGTTTAGAAATTGCATGAGCATCATGAATATACCACAGATTTGTCAAAAAAGTGCAAGAATATGGGGTTATGATTTCAAACGAAAGGTGATTTTTTTGAGACACTTACAAAGCTTCTGGGCGCGTATGGAGACTGGTTTTGGATCGGTTTCGCTTCAAGGATGGTCCAGCAATTGATTAGTGTGGAGATTTGGTGTTGAAGCTGCCTCTAAGCACGATTTCAGTTTCAAACTTTTTGCCAATTTTTTTCAAGTTTGCTTTCGATGGTTCTGC